TACCGTGGACTGGACTCAACTTGAAAAGCCTTTTTTTCTCGAAAACCTTTGTTCTCTTTCTACTGCTGCCGTCATTTTGAAAAGTACAATGGAAGTTGTACTGTAAGGAGACGTCAAATGTGGAAAACTATGCGGTCGTTCCACCAGGTGGCACGCATCTTTGGACCTTGTTACTTAAGTGCTAAACTGGGTCACGCCGACTCAAATTCTCTTTTATGAAGCGGTCGTGAAGCCTCGATCGACAGTGATTCACAGTGGGTTACGGAAGCCAAGATCCCCACACAAATCGACAAACGTTTTCAACCTGATAACCATGCAACGTTGTTGTTCCGAGAAACACTCATTTCGGTATCAATTTAGTTTTTCTTTACGGAAGACCTATCAGGAAAGTAGCTGAATCTCTTATTTGTGATGTCCTGAACATTATTAGTGTGTTATGTCTTCAACTGTTGTTCGTGTGTGTGTGTGTGCATATTCTCCTCTCCTCTGATGAATGATCGCAATAAATTGTTATTCTAACAGGGCAGCATACTGTAGTGAGGCCACTGGAGTCAAGTCACAACAGGCACGGCCTCAGTAACAGATGTTCTTCGAAGCCACAATGGGGGATGACGTCACTGTGATGGGGTAACATTCAGACAGCACTCACTTTACCACAACAGCGCTACCATCGGTGTTACGGAATGAAAACGATCAGGACAAGCGACTACGAATACCGAAAGAGTACGACAGAATAACTGGAATGGCAGCAAAACAAGCGCTCACGGGTAACAGAGGGACACGATACGGAATAACGGCCTACTGTGGACATGCCTCATTTCGCTTCGAACTTCACAGACTCGCCATTTTGCCAGGTGAATCATGCGTGTTCACTAGGCATTCTCGGAATACCCATGCACTCAAACAGATACTCGATGCGTATGACTCTTTGCAACCAAACGTGTGGTTGTCTGCTTTTCAGTGGAACTGCTTGGAGGGAGCCGGCAGCTTAATTTCATGCTATGGAGGTCGCCAGATCAGTGTTCCTAGTCCCGATTGGAAAATATGGCTATTTTTGTTGAAGTTGATGGAATTGAGAACAGCAGGCCGATTGAGAATACTGGCAAAAAGTATGAAACTTCGTCAAGTGCTCCCTGAGCAAGTACAAACAAAAAATGGGGCACTAGATGCGGTTAAAGACTTTGAATGTTAGAGTGACAACGAATCTGAGGATATGAGTCTCTATAAAATATTACCGAGAAAAAGTTTACTCAATTGTTGGAAATAAATAGCTGTGCGATTGGCAACCAAAAACAAAAAAAATAGTCGAACATAGAGAAAACGGTCATAATCCACAGAAATGCTGGCTTCTTCCACCCTGCCCTAACACAACGGGCAGTTTCCTCGATTTCGGTAGTAAAAAGTGGACCGACCGGACCATAGAGCGCACGGCTCACAGAAAGCACACGTCAAAGTTCAGTATAATCAAATGCAAAAACGTAACCTAGTTAGATGTCTGTCTGAGAGTAGTAGAAAGTGGACCGATCGGACCATAGAGCGCAAAGCTCACAGAAAGCAAACGTCAAAGGACAGTATATTCAACTACAAGAAACGTAACCTAGTTAGATGTCTGTCTGAGAGAGCAGAGAAGAAATGCCCCTTCAACCGCGTATCAGAGGAACTAGGGTTCCTGATCGGTTCTTATTCAAAACTATGCAATCTGTAAAGACCGAACCTGAAAAAAGCTCAATTGGGAAGTGGACCATCTACATGAGCCCCCTCATTCAAAGGTGATTCGGTTGCTGAATTAGTTAGCATACGGCCTAGAAATTCTGTTGACATGTGGTTGCTAATCTGTGCTTGAGCTTCAATTCCAGCCCCACTTGATAAACAATTGCCAGGTTCTACCACCAGCGTTTGTGTGTACTCATCCGTATTCTCGTGCTGGTATTCTCGTTGGTCTTACGTCAAGACGTTTGGTAGAAAGAATGCGAGAACACAATCTCTTATCCCTGAGTAGTAGTCGAAAGAAACTGGGATCAATCGAAAGCCGAAAGCAGTCATCTCAACGACAAAGAACAAGTCTCCGATATCATGTAACAGGCACTTCTGAACCGATCACGATTGGCACGATCCAGATTACTATTGATCGCAGAAGGGACCCAAGACTTCCCGACCTCTGAACTTAAAGTGTTCATAGACACACCACTCTCGTCTGAACAGTCGTGTTCCTGTTCTGGCGCAATTATTCCGGTGAGCCCACACGAAAAGGTAGCACTGGACTCTAGTTTAGCTCTTATTAGAGCTCATCAGCAGTGCGTATCCGATGGCCGTGCCGGGATTCGAACCCCGGATACCTGACATGCGAGGTGAACGTGTAGTCACTACTCCACCAACGCACGTTGGACGCATCTGGATTTTCACGTCTGAACAGGCGAACGTGTTCACACTTGAGCGATGTGATTCCTAGTTTACTGGGCTCATCAGCCGGCGAAACTTTCATCCAAGTGTCGCCAGCGCTTCTTGATGTCACCTGAATTGTCCGCCAGTCAGTTAGCGTGGCACACGCTACCTGGGCAGCTTTTTGGTTGCATTTTGGCTTGCGAAAAATCCGGTCAAACAACCCTGTCTGACAATGACGTCACTTAACCCCACTTTGTGACTTACTGATCTACCCCTCTCTCAACCCCCTCGATTTTAATTTTTCCACGTGATTTCGGATAGCATACAAATTTGTAATGCATTGGCCAAGGGAACAATTACAGACCACAAGCTTTGTTCGCTACCTTCGTTCTTCCCACGTCTTCGTATTCTGTTCCACACCGTTCTGTCAAGTTGTACGCTTTCCACCTCGCCGTCTGAAGGATGCATGGAGGGCAAAAGTAGTCTCCGTTGACGTTATTCCGGCATGCGTAGCATATGGCTGAGCTACCGTAGTTGATGGTGCTATGTGATTTCTGCGAGGGATGTGCCTGCTTTACAACCCGTTTTCTAACTGCCATGTTACAAATCCGTGGACGCCATTCGACACCGGTGACACTTCTGAGGCGTCGGTAGTCATAACCTGGAGCCAACTCACATCCTATGTCTGTAGGGGTCACGTGTCGTCGAAAAGTGATTCACAGGTAACTCGAAAGAAAATCTCGTCAACAAGACTAATTTAACGACCAACGGACCATTCGTGAACGAAAGTGCCATTCACAGAGACAGTGTCTAAATGGGTTTTCGCACCTTTTTCAGTAGAATCGAACTTAACAGGCCGCAGTTGATCGTACATTTAGCTCAGGGACCGGTACGTAAGCAAACCATAACTAATGTGAACGATAAAAACTGTGTGGATGTAGTGGTGCCTTCCAGAATACCACAAGTTTTCTACCATTTTTTGATATTTTTCAAGTGGAACAAACACGTCGATGGGTAGACCGGGGTAAGTCACCAAGTCTTTTCACAGTAGAACACGATCAGACCTAATGGCAATGACCAGCTCTGTGTGCAGCTTGACGCCTAACACAGCCGGTCGATTATCTAAGTTTGCTTTTCCGGTTGGCCTGACCTGAGGAAGACAATGCTTTCAGAGACATGATCCAAACAGGCTGGCTAGCGACATACGTGGCTGAGTGAAGTGCGGCGACTGAGACAGGCTGTTCCCCTCGGTTGCGGATTACTTTCACCCAGCACGACCGGGGGGTGAAACTTAGCTATCTATGGAAGGCGACAGATATCTTCTATCACACTTCCGGTAGATTCATCCTTCCGGTCCAGTGCACGAAGCGACTGCGGCTCAAGTTGACTACACTGTATTGTTTGCAATTTCGCAAGAACTGCTGGAGTGAGATCCGTCATCTTCATGGTATGCTGTACACCGTAGCAACAGAGCTCACCATTGGCGGGTGGCATATGTTCGAATGTTAGGCTAAAGAATTCAAGAAAAGCGTAAGGAATTCCCGTTGTTGTCATCTTCGACCAGCAGTGAGATTTGTACTAATTTTGGTTTGAGTGACAACTTCTCAGAAGGAAGTTCCACACATCCAGTGGAATTGTTCATCGTAATGTGAAGAGATTTGGTAGTTGCCAATGAATATTTCATTCCGCCAATGAAGACAGCTCAAAACAGCTCACTGTGATTGGATGACCTCATCGATCGGTCCTAAAGCCAGAGTGAAAGAAAAAAACTAGCCCTCTCCGGAAAACTACTAAAAATACTGAAACAAAACAAACAAATAATAGTACTATTAATAGAAGTAATCAAGTTTCGGGTTGTACAGAAAACACAAGCCACGGCAAACGCAAAACGTGCTTGCTATCACAGCCGATATTAGTGATAAGAGAGTGAAATTAGAAAACAAAACATAATAGGCAGAGACACGGAGGATAGAAACGGAGCGACGAGGAAAACTGTTTACCTTGGCCTAGGACAAAACGGTCAATCAGCAAGCATAGGAGAATGTATAAAAAATGGAATGGGATAAAACTGCAGGGATACAAGATATGGGAGACTTTGGCCAGTTTCTATTAAGGTCTCTGTGACTGAGGCTGAATGCCTCATTTGGTAGATATGGTGTTCAGCTGGCGCGACGAAGCAAACAAATCAATAGAGAGGGGAGGGGTACGTGCACAAGAAAACACATGGCGCTTGCAATACTGCGGAAAAACAAGTGGAACGTGAAGAATAAGAGGCCCAAATAGATAGGAAGAGATCATCACAAGAGCGCCTAGTGGGAGAGGTTGTGTTCAATTTTCTCTGGTTCGCTTGTCTTTCACAGACAGGCGGGCAAACTTATGCGGCAGGTTGTGGTCACCGTTGTTGTTGTTGCTGGTGTTGTTTCTAGTTTCGGTCACAACAATGGGACTTTTGGAAGGTTTCGTGAAGCTGGATAGGTTGGAACGGGACGGGGTCCACGGGGCCGGGTCAGACGCGGCGGAGAAGTGCAGAATACGTGATAGTTCTGCGAAGCTCGGACGGCGTTCGGCATCGGCGAGCCAGCAGGCATTCATCTGCATTCGGACCAATGGGGGCATATTTTCCGGAGCTGGGAGGCGGTAGCCTACAGGAGAGGAAAGGTTAGGACGTATTTGGAATCAAAGTAGGTTCTCAGTGTACGTATTCAGAAGAGAATAAATGTGTTGCGAAAGACAGCATACTGTACAAAGAGGCATGATGTGCAATTTCGACACGGTAAGGGGCACCGAACGAATGTTTGACATCGAGTTACATTTGGATTTGCATTGGATTCTCCTCCGGCTATGCTAGGAAAAAATCGTTCAGCTGTAGCACCCTTTCGGTGCCTAGGTACAAGGCCACCCGAAAAAAGCACGAATGCTAGGAGACTGCCAGGTTGCCTAAGCCTACACAGGGTAAGTCGAGAGGCAAAGATCGGGTTCGAATCACGGACCGTCCGGCCGGTAAATTCGCACTCGAGCCACTGAGCCATCTCATCCCGTACTAGAATATTCTAGAACACATCGTACGACAAATACCGTGACGCCTTAAGTCGAAAAGGTATGTTCATTAAGAGAAACCAATAACACTAGTTCAGATAGAGTCGCTCCTTTAGACGTGTGGGAGCTTATGTCCATCATGGACTATGCTAATGAGGTGAAGAGAATATACGTTGATAAGTTGAAGACGTTTCGTCCTGTGTAATGAGTCTGAGGTCAGCAGTCCAAAACAGTTATTTAAGTTTCAAAAACATTTTGAATAACCAGTCGACCTGGATGAATCTCGACAGTGTCGTGGGGATTCAACGGATTAAGTTATCACAACTGCCTGATGGGGCCTTCAGAACCGGAGCAGCTACCCGAGACTCCACTCTCCATCGTTCCACAACATAGTCCTTGCAGACCTTATGACGCATCATCACCATCGACATCATGACATTAGTGTTCAACACCGATGCTTCATTGCCTACTTCATGGTTGTAAGAGGGCTGGGATACTGCTAAGGCGCCCACACCTAGACAGCAGGACGATTAGGGTCCACGACCAAAGCTTTTGGCTCAAGGGCCTGACCGCAAGGCAACGATGTTTGGCGGGAAATGCAGATGCACTACAATTGCTACGGAAAAAGTCACTGCATGTTCGAGCCCTCAACCTGAAGGGCCAGGAGACTGTGTTCGTCAGACCTCTAACCATTGACCAACCTGGTATGAGAGACTCTGTGAGTGTCACGGGGACACTACCCAGTACAGCTCGATGGATCGCTGAGGTGCGTAAACCGTCACACTACGGTAAGGTCCAGTCTTTTCGTGACGCATACAAGCAATTTGAAAGTCGTTGCCATTAGAATTATCCAATGGAATGCATTCGTGCTGAAAACAGTAACCCTTCCTCACAAATTCACAGTACTGAGCGAAGCTGTAATCAAGCAAACTTCCTCAATCGCAGACTGAAGTCTTCCAATAAATTTCTTCGGTCCATTCATGCAACAGCATCTACTGAACCTGAGGCTTCCTGCTTCCCCATGCACTTAACGTCCCACCAATAATACTTTGCTCTCGATAAATCGAATGTTTCACATCTCGGAATGCAATCAGGGTGGCTAACAAAGCACGTTCTTCGAGAAATACACTCATTTGCAAATCAATTTGGTTCTCACGAGAGACTCAACTGAATCTCTCGTTCATGATATTCTACAACTAAAGGTGCTGCACACAGGCGGCCTCATGTTTCAGTTGGCACGACATTCGAGATATCGGAGTATATTTTCATAAAGGAAACTACTCACAAGGTTGTTGAGGGTTTAAGAGTTTTCAGCAACCTCGTGATTAGCTTCCTTTATGCAAAAAAGCACGTTCTTATCTGGGTAGTCTCCTAGGTAAGAGCGATCACTCATACACCTCCACTGGAGTGTAGCACACCTCCAACCACAACTACGGTAGATATACATTGAATCACAGTCGGTTCCTTCTTATTCGCTTCCCCCAACCCACCAAAAAATTACTCTCTCTCTCTATCAGTTTATTCCGTTCGCACAAACAATAATAATCGTTCAGTGACAGCATTCTTTCGGGGCCTAGCCACTGTGCCTCCCGGATGAAGCACAAGAGCTGGAATACTGCCAGGACGTCAAAGTCTGGACAGCAGCCGTCGATAGGTCGGGGATGGGTTCGAACCACGGACCTTCCCCCATAACCACTGAGTCATCTCGAGCTCGTTCGCATTTTCCTACATCACACCAAACTAAGATAGGTTAGAACTCCATATTTCTGTCCGTGTCTGCGCTCAACATCCGTTAGCACGTTTCTCTGGGGGTCATCAATATTTGTCATTTCATTCTTCGTTTTCATGCACAGGTGGTTTTTGAGACGGTAATCACCTGGTAGGTATTCGTGTGGATACCGGAAGAACTGCTTGCTGAACAAACCCACCAGTATCTTACACAGTGGAGAATGCTGCACAAAGTTAGGTAGACGTTCGTCGAAAATGTCACAGGCTGATAGAAACCTTCGATGAAGGATAGTCAATCGTTCAGCTGTAGAAGCCTAACTTTCATGCCACCCGAAAGAAGCACGAGGGCTGGGATACTACCAAGTTGCCCAAGCTTAGACAGAAGTTGAAATGCAGAGGTCGGGTTCGAAGTACGGACCTAGAGGTCAGTAAATTCGCGTTCTAACCAATACTTGTCTACAAGTGCCAGACACCGCTAGTATTGACGGGTTATCACCCACAAAAGTATTGAGAGAAGGACACCGGGTCTACATCACGTGTTACTTAACGAAGACAATGGATGCTGAGTAGTCCTGGAAATGAGGCTAATGAAACAATGTCAGCTGACGATGACAAGACCACACACAACTGAACGCGCTTCGCGCTCACCTGACTCAACCATTTCTCGAGTTTGCGGATTGGACCAAAATCGGTAGGGAATATCGCCGAAAGTGAAGATTTCCCACAACAGAACACCATACGACCAGACATCACACTTGATTGTGTATCGTCCGGTGACCAAAGCTTCGGGGGCAGTCCATTTAATCGGGATTTGTCCACGGCGATCACTGAGCTAAAGAGCAAAGTAGTTACAACAGAAGAACGAGCACCAGAGGTAAAGAAACGACAACTGATTCAAGCATGACACCTGAAACAGCGTTACAAACTGAATGCACAGCACAAGGAACCTGACGACTCGTGACCTCGGTAAGTGGGAAGCTCACAAGATCAACTAGTTCAACCGGCACCGTAACTGGCTTGAGCGCTAGGAGTGGATACCTCAACTCTACGAGTGGTTTGCTGCCAAAAGCTCCAAGGATACATTGGAAGGAACAGAGACATACTGACAGATTCGGGTCACGTCGTACGACAGGACTTTATGGAAACCATTCATGAGTTTTTTAAGCAAGATTATGAAATGCTTCGGCCCGGATTAAGTCGAAAATCTCCAGTTGAAACCAAACTAATGTGCAAATGAGTGTAGTTCGGCAACTGTGCACAATCTGTGTTCACGTAAAACATGAGGTTGGCGGAAACTCGGAGACTGCGCCAGTCTGGGGATCCCCAAAAGAGACAGACAAGACCGATCGTTGGATGCCGAAGAGTTTCCAGCAACCTTCTGAGTAGTGTTACTTCTCAGCTACGTTAAATTTCTGGTAAGTTGAAGATCGACCTGGTTTCTCATTGTTTGGTGATCACACTTGTTTTGTGAACCAGAAAAAAATCACTACTTGCAGTGCCATAGGGACTGAGGGTGTGCATCCGATCGAGTGGATACATCATGCTCAGCGCCATTACAGACTTGACTAGAGCGACACCGGTTGTGAGACCGAACGGCACAGTGCAAACCGACTTCGAGGAATGCAGAGTGACGGGAGGCAGAAGAGAGGAACAACAACGATACCACCAGACGACAAAAGTGAGATACTGAGAAAAATCGCACACACATCTGTGCACACAGAAGAAGTGTACCATCGTCTGAAAGATCAGACAAACATTCTGGCATAAGCAGTGTCACGTGATGGTAGCAACCTAGGACCGGGAACTTCGTGTGATATTGATCTGCAACCAGCTAGTGACACCAGGATGAGCATGTGAGAATGTGACATCGGGTGCTGTGTGGTGTTGCATTCGAATGCACTGACTTACCTCGTAGATGTGCTCTTCTCTGGACATACCAAAGTCGGCAATTTTTAGCCGACCGTTCTCCGTGACCAGACAGTTGCGTGCAGCCAAATCACTGTGAGCAAAAAGAAAACGGAAGAATGAAGCGGAAATAATAGAAAGACCCACTCTTCGGCATCTAAGGGGTCGCTTTAATCAAAAGAATTATATGGATGCCTGCCCACGGGAATTTCTTGTACTCGTTCGTTCTCACAAAGGACCTCGTAAGTGTGAGCTTCGAGTATTCCAGGGGGAAGGATCACGACGGGCGTCCGCACTGCCTGCGAAAGACAATTCACGCCCCAGAGCTCAGCTACAAGATACTTTCCGACGCGATTAGGAGATTGGATCAGTCACATGACCTTTCGGCCTATGGAAGCAAGCGTTCAAACATCTGGGCACGACCGAGGTTGGTAATGATTAGGCTCGCTCGTGCTCCAGCTGGTAAAACGCTGACCAATCAACAGTGTTCAGTTCAAGTCCAGAACAAAACAGCCGGTCTAACCAAGAATTTTTTCTTGGAATCGAAAATTGAATTAAGTATCCTAATGTGTCGATTAACGAGCAGTAGTTTCGCTTAGTTTTGCGGAAATGCATTGTGCGATTGCTTGAGGATGTATAAACCATTTTAAGTTTCAATAATATGAATATGTGAATACTAGGCGACTACGTACCGGTGAATGCAATTCTTCGATTCCAAGTAAGCCATGCCGCTGGCAGCGTCTGAGGCCATCAGGAGAAGGGTGTTTAAGGAGAGAACATTCTTGAATCTGCGCAAATAGGTCAGCAGAGATCCACCTGCGAAAAGAGAATGGTGACACTGTGGAGAATACAATGAGTGAAATTCACGTACACCGCTGGAGTATCGTTGCCTACTTTGGAACTGTTAAACCGGGTTTCAGCGTATTTCAAAGAGGTTGTAGGGTTCGAGAAACACACTCATTTGCAAATCAATTGGGTTTTCACAAGAGACTCAACTGAATCTCTCGTTTATGATATTCTACAATTGAAAGTGCTGCACACAGGCCGCCTCAAGTTTCAGTTGGCACGACATTCGAGATATCGCAGCATATTTTCATAGAGGAAACTACTCACAAGGTTGCTGAAAACTCTTCGACAGCCCACAACGGGTTTCGCCCTTCTTGGCGCTCATCAGGTAGGCGCAGTCCCCGAGTTTCCGTCAACCTTATGATCTACTTGAACCCAAATTGCACTGTTTTTGAGAAATACACTCATTTGCAAATCAATTTGGTTTTAGGGTTGTAGGGTTCATCACCAACTGTTTTCGAGTTCAGAGTATACAGTCATTGTCTATTCGACACGCACTGAGTGGTGAATAAAAAAAGAAAACCCCGATAGGAAAGTTGGCAGAAAAAGGATGTGCTACCTGGAACATATTCCATCACAATCATGATTGGATGTGAATGAACCGCGATTCCAATCAACTTCACAATGTGTGGATGACAGAAATTCAAGGCCGTTCGTTCGCCTTGTAGGAATTTCTGTCGTAGATGAGCTGCGCTGGTATCACCACGGCAAGTTTTCACGGCCACCTCGCAGCCGTTGTAGTAGCCGCGGTAGACATCGCCAAAATTACCCTGGAAAACAAAAGCGGAGTGGAAAGGTATGTATGGAGTGGGGACGAAACAAGACGGGACTTAAGGCACGAAACTGAGATGTATTATTTTCCCCATGCACACGGACGATGCAGTCAGGTGGGCGACTCTGTAGCTGTTTGAACAGGTCTTAGGACAGTTAAAGTACCACACAATAGTGCGATTATTTGAATTGCTTATAACCGTTCATTTCCGTTAACTCTGGGCTTCTGGTCTGCAACCTACGCGGTACTTAGGTCATAAAGTAGCTGGAAACATCCAACCGGATAGTCACTCACGGAAGCAGTGACAATGGAAACAAATGACCAAGAAGTTGATGCACCGATTAGGTGAGTCAGGTTACCAATCGGTAACAATCACACCTACCAGACGTGTGAGTTGGTGGCTCACAGAATTTCCACAAATTAGAGCTAAAATGTTCGTGATGGTGTGTGGGCACTAACAGAAAATGCTCGATCCTGATAGGCCGGTACCCTAACCAATGAGGAGGATGTGCTTTCGTTTGGCGCGTGGCCGGTGCGCGACATATCAATCCAATCCATCTGATGTCCGGCTGTTTAGAGCGATCCACCTGTGGACACCTGTGAGCGGGATGCCATTCGGCTCCTAATTAGTACACAGTTGAAGCCTCCAGATCCGAATGACAGCACAGAGGCAACCAACAGTTGGTCTGTAGATGGTACATCACTACAATAAGGACAGCTGTGTTCAATGACCGAGAAACGCAAATAGATCAGACGGGTAGCGTTTTTCTAATCAACAAAGCACAACACCTGGGTTTAATAGTATACCAGATGGCGTCGTGTCAAAAATATGAGGTGATTAGATCTTGAGCACATTTAGTAAACTAGCTTATTTTATCCCATCGATTAAGAGGTGGACTCAATATTGACAGGAAAAGCGGTCATTAGCTAAGCCACTCCGAGAAGCTCGTGCGTTGACTGTCAATTGTCAAAAACAGATTTGAGTGATTTGTGTTGTGACGAGCGAACACGGAGGGGGAAAAGCCACACTGGTAGCGAATCAGACTTACTTGTCCAATTTTCTGAACAAGCTGGACATCCTTGTTATCCAGTTCCCAATCAGGACGAGTGACGGGTGTGATCAGACAAGCAAGCACCTTGGCTGTCACGGGGGTTCCTGTAAGGATGTGATACTCGAGCAGTTCCCTGAAAGGTGAGATGGAGGAATGGGCCAGATAAAACGAAATCCATATGACGAAGACGAACAAGGTGAATGAAAGTCGAGCTTTTGAAAGACTGACTGATAGGTTGGAGAGACTGCACAATGAGGTTCTGAGCCGAAGATTCTATCCAATAATTTACGAATTCCCTTTTTAGGTAATTTATTACCTACACACCGAAAATGATGCCCGGATTGAACGACATAATTGCTCGAAAGCGTTATCTGACGGATAGTCCTAAGGCAGGTGACAGGCAAGCTGAGTTCTCGGGAATCGGATCGAGTGCAACGAGATCGCCATGGCGACCGAACGGCGTTGATTGAGACAACTAACCACTTGTAACGGCTTGGTTAGTGAATAGTTAAGCCAAACTACCAGCACCACCAGCATCTCGTAGCGTGGTCTCACACGTCAGGTGCAAGGACGCAGAAATGTTAGTGTACGCGGTGCCACTTATCAAATCCACTCCAATAAGAGTTTAGTGTTGATGCTGTCTGAGAGTTATCGCTTCTGGGAGTGAGTCATTTCGGAGATTTCCAGTACCAAACCAGCTGAAACTGCTTCAGGTTTGCAACAGTAGGGTTCGGTGTAGAAAAATGGGTGGCGAAAGTGGTTGGGTTCAAATATAGCAATGAGGAAATCCGCAAAAAACGTAGTCCTTAGGAAAAAAGTGAGGTTGAAATGCGGCAAGACACAAATCAAACTCGAATTGAAGCTGAGGGAACGAAATGTGAATCATTCAGGGGCGCGTAGACACACACACACACACACACAAACAGAACAACGGACAGAATCAATTAGCAGGGATTTGCTGAGTTAGCTTCAGCAACTATGGACCTTCCGAAACAATTATGTTAAAGCACAAGTATTGAGTACCACTTGTTATATAGCGGGGCGAGGGGAGGTTTGCATACTACTCACGCGACTGGTTCAGAGCACTTGGAAGGCGATGGAAGTGTCTGAGAAGCGATATGTCTTTCTTGTAGCCCATAGTTTCCAAATAGTTACTATAGCTGAATGTGTGGATCATCACTGCATCTGCGTGGTCATCATCCATTCTAATGTGTTAACATTTACTGCCCTGGTAGGGTTTGCCAGCACTCTCTAGAAGTGACAACGTGAAAGCCAAGTAGAGGTCTGTTCAAAAAATAGTGGTTAAACGGTATAACGTTACTGCAAGTTTCGATTTGTGATCTGTCTTTACAGTGAATTGTATTCCTGCAAGACAGCAGAGAGCACCATGGCACCTGGGTGCTAGAAATGCCTGTATTCCGTCGAACAAATGTGTACTAGGGCTTTCAAAGTCAGGTCAGCTGGTAGCTAATTTA